ATTTAATCAAACTGGGAGTTTTAGAATAAAAATGGATTTCATTTCAGATATACGGCTCTAACTGCATCGTGTCATATTAAAAAGGGGAATTTTCAAAATGTTGTGGCAGTTAGTCCCATACTTTCTCCACATGACAAGAATCCCTGTCTGCATGGAACTGAAGCTCATGGGGAGAGTAAATATGACGTGTGATGTGGAAAAACAGTCACAGTTCTCTGTATTTTCATGAGCTTTGCATCTGATTATAACTGCAAAGTTACGGTTAAGTTAGAGTCTGGGCTCATGAAGTCTGGTTGCCAAGCTGACACAAAGCCCTGGGCAGTGAGACATGTTGCTGTATCGTTGCCACAGCAGCAGCAATGAACGGCAGAGACCGTGTGAAGGCCAGCTCCATCCTCCTCTTCAAGTGGAAAGAATCTGTCCCCTCCCTGCGAGGCTGCCAGCTCAGCCCGAGCTCTTTCTTCCACCCCGGACTCCCCAAAGCCCCAAAACACTCTCCGACTGCTGGAGGCTTCGCTAAAACATAAGATATATTCACATATTCAGTGAAGGCATGCAGAAGTCACAAAACCATCTTTTGGTTTCTGACATACAACTTAACCTTTATACTTGTGTTTATTGTCTTCTAAAGAGCGTGCACAAACCGTCAGTTTGTTTCTGCAGTGGCCGATGGATCTGAGGATCGACTGGATCCGCTGAGTGTGTCTCGAACACAAGTGAGGCATCTCTGATGCGGAACCTGGCCGGGCCACTGGCCAGACCAGACAGCAGAGCGGCGGTCGATCTCATCAATCACACACACCCACAACACCCGGCCTCGCTCTACTGGATTTTTATGCTTGATTCGTTCAAAGCCCCCCATCCACAGCAGCTTTCACCCTTTCTTATGATACTGTCTGTGTTTGAAAAATGAATATGAAGGGTGTTAATGACCGTCTGGGTTGTTTCCCCCCCCCCCCCCGAAACTGCATGTTGCCACCAACTTCTCTTTTACCCAAGTGCAAATGGACACACTGACAAACGATCTGGCCTTAGTACTCGCATTGGAAACAGATACACCATTGTGAACAAAAGATCTCCACCCAAAAACAGCTGGACGGATGGCCGGGAATCAAAAATCCACTTTGAAACATTTATTGTCCACATTAGCAATATTTACAGGCAGAGGGACAGAGAGCGAGAAAGAGGATAGTCAGAGGAAATACCCAGGGGAGCAACATAACCTACTCACTTAATGGACCGTTTTACCGGAGGTCAAGGGATTAGCTTTGTCCTGTGAGCTTTTTCTTCCTACTAATACCAGCTTTTATATGTTGGATTCTACATGGCGATGTGTTGATCCAAAAGTGCAACTGTGTAGGATTCCTCTCCCTTCTTCCGCTTTGTAAACCTGCCGACTACATGTTGTGGATGTCTGTGAATGAAACATTATAGTGCGTATAAACACACTGTGCCTTGAGAGGTGAGTGGCATGGCAGAGGGGGGGGGTTGTGATACATCAGCAGCAGTTTCACAATCCTCTTGGTGCCGCAGTGCTCTAACTACTCTCCACGAGGTAAATATATACACATCAATAATCTAAATGGGCTTTATTCATGTTTGGAAATTGGTCAGATTGGGATTTCATTGAAATACGTGGAATACATTAAACGTATAAAGAGATTTCATGCATTTAAAATCAATCCAAGCCGTCTAATTTGTAATTTTTTAAATTTTACTTTGAGTGAAAATCATGATCCAAACAAGCTCCAAGGACGAAAGAACAAATATCCAGAGACGTATAATTCTAAACGTGACATGAAATTAAAGTAGAAAAAAAGGATTAAAGGAAAGTAACACAAAGGTAACCAAAATAAGTCCACACCTTAGTTGGATTCATCCATGGAAAACATCTCAATAGCAATGTTTCTTTCTCTTAAGCTTTTTCTTACATCAAGGTCAGGTTTGTTATACTCTGTTGCCCAACTTTTCAATAGCCCTGCCGTTTAATAATAACAGACTAGAGGGTCAAAGTAATACATTCTTTTAAAGATGTAATCAGAAATCCTTTACCGGCTATTTTTATCAACTCGCCATTATACAAGACGTTGATGAATAATGCCAAGCACTCAGCTCATCGGCTGCTAAGATCTCAAACGTTCCAAATAGGCCAAGCCAGGCCGCCTTTGTGTATTTGCAGGATTTTCTCTTTCCTCCCAGGTCCCATTGGACAACCTGCTGTGTGCAATGGGCTTAGAAAGAATGACGGGTATTTTCTATGCCAACAGCTGCGACTCTTATTAATCCACATTGCTAATTACTAATTGTCATCAACTTGTCAACGTTGTTTAAAGTTCACAATCACTGACCTCAGCCTTCAGTTCCAAACTATGGAGTCTGCACAGACAAATGTAACTGTATGGATCCACAATACTTTATATTTGTAAACTGCGCCCTCCTGATTGAACTGCAATTAACTTTACATCCTAAAAAGCACCAAGGGCGTCTAGTTTGTATGTTAGAGAGGGAACCAGATGGGCGTGCCAAAATCAACCTGAATAGGAACTTATTTGTGAACTGACTCGCCCACCTGGAAGATTCTTATATAACGGTCCTGTCTCCAAACATCTGTTAAGGGCTGTGCAGCAAGGGTAAAGAGAGCCGGGGACAAGTGAGGACCTCGTTTGCTGGCAAATAAGTAAACCAAATGACAGTTTCATTGTAAGGCGATTTGAACATGATCGTGATTTACACCCACTTTAATAACGTTAAAATAACAATTCATTACACTGAATATCTACAGGCCAGCAGAAAGAGACAGAGATGGAGGGCAATAATGACATTTTCATTTTCACTATGCTCAGTTAAAAAGTAGCAGAAAGAAAGAAATTCGGGGAGTTAAGCCTGTCGCAGGCCGCTTAGACGGGACGGGATGAGCACATCTCAGTGGAGGATCTAATATCTCATGAATAATACTGGATAGGGTTAGTCAAAGTCATAAGGGAATGGCAATAGTTCACATTTTTAAGAAATAAACTAGTTTTTAATGGTGCTCAATACAAACTATCGAGCATACCTATTGCCTCCAGCTCTTATTGCCGGTGGCTCGACGCTTTTAGTGCTAGCGACGCTAACGGTGTTTTTCCGAGGAGGAACTAGCGTGCATTGCAAAGCAAGCAAGGTGGCCCATCCATGTAAACAAAGCACAGAGAAGCTCGTATTATAACAGATGATGAATCAGGTAGACATTCCTCTGTATCGGTACATTGCAAATACGTTTTGATGCTATATTTATGCCCTGAATATTTAATATGTGGGAACCTTTGAGTTCTTTTTTCAACCGTTAAAGTGTCAGTTTCTTCTCTGATGCTCCACCATGAGTTGTTTCCATTCTGCCTGCTTGTTTAATGAACTATCCCGTCATTCCCCTCTCGATCATCTCTCATTCCCTTCACCTGGTCATCACGCCCTTCTCACCTGCAGCCCATTCCCTCAGTCCCTCACTATTTAGGTCCCCTCCATTATGCTTGTCCCCCTGCCAGATTGTGTTATTGCCATGCACGCTGACATATCCTGATATGGGTCCTGATTCACCTCTTCTAACCCTGTTAGCCTACTTGACAGTTATGCCTGCCCCCCTTTTTGGGTTGGTTTCCATGTTGGACTGACCTCCTAGTTTTGATCCTAACTGTAAACTAGTAAAGAACTTCACTTGTATTTATGTTTCCGAGTTGTGCGTTCAAGGATCTGTAATCCTTACCGTGTACGAAGGAGAAAACTTGTTACGTGGGCGTGAGCACACGCGTGAGTTTATTTACCCCTCTTCCTGGTTAAACTGTTCCGGATGTGCTGCCACATCATGCAGTTAAACACTCTGTGATCCTTCGCTCTTATCTGGCACAAACACAAAGCTCAGCCAAGCGCTGCTGCCTGTGCTAGAGTCAAGGTAGGCCTTTCAACCCTCTAAATGTCAACAGGACACCCGCTCAACTCTGCATAGTTGCCATGACAACAGGGAAGATGACAGCCACCACGCACAATGGGATTTTGTGGACGGGCAGAAATGATGTTGAGCTGCCAGTGGCAGACAGGTGGAGGGGCTGGCTGGGAGATATATGTGTGATACAAGACACGTGGCGATGGAAAATAAATGTATGGGTGTGAGAATAAAGAGAGAGATGGGGATGAAGGAGGGTGGGTGCACATGTTGATAAGGAACGTGTCGTGGAATAAGGTGGAAGAGGAGCAAAACAAAAGAAGTGGGAGTAAAGGTTTCCTGTGTGAAGGCACTTAAGCAATCAAATCGGTTGATTACGGGTAAATACAGGGGGAAGAATGAAGGGTAAAGAGATGGTACACCCGGCATCTCTCCCTTTCTATTTGTGGACACTTTTCAGGGCAACAAAAGGGCAGACATGCAGAGAGGAACCGGATCCTGGTCCGTTTGTCTCCTCTAATGGCCTCAAGGGACTGTGTGAAATGGCCCTTTTCTTCCTGGTCCTTTTCAGAACTAAACCGCATCTACATGACAAACGGTGTCACTTTGAAGCTGCTTGTGTCATCTCTGCCTATCTGTCACTCATTCCTGACCTTTTGCACCCGCCTCTCATATATCTTTTTCTTTTTTTCTTGCCACAATAATTCTTTTTTTCGGCAGCGATTCCTTTCACCCTCAATCCTATTCATTCATTTCAGATATCTGCCGCTGCACTCAAAGTCTTTGGATTTAAGAATAATGTGATTTCAGCACTTCTGTCTCTAACTCATATTGTTTGAGGCATATTAATGGAACAAAAGCCCTATCATTTAAAACATTAGTGCTTTTGACTACATAACACTTTGGCTGACTAATAGTTTTTGACCTGGTGTCATTATCAATACTGAAAACCACTCATGCAAATAGACTCTTGACGTTTTAATCTGACTGACTCTTGTTGTCCTCGCTGAGTATTACAGTAACTGTAGCAAGCTCTTTGGCGCGACGTGGTTTATTTAAGCCTGTATTCTTTGCATGATCCTACCTGGTTGAAGAGCTCCAGCCTCTCCTTGACTTCGGCCAGTGTAGGGTTTGGGCTTCGAACTTTGACCTCCGGGTTTTGCCTTTGGGCGTGTAGACCATTTCCTACAACTCTGCCGGCGTAGCTGTGAGGAAGAGAGAAGGGCGGTCACATATATGTAGAGACAGAACTGGTTGTGGGTGTCAAATGAAGGCAGATATCTAGTTATTCTTAGTAGGTCTGACAAGATGTGGTTTTTAGACAAATGCAGGTTTACAATAATGGAGACTCAGACCGAGGTCAATCGGCTCCACAATGTAGTGGGTTCTTCTTTGGCTCATGATAAACTTTTCCAACCAGTTTTACATTCATTTGGGCAATAGATGTTCCTATAATCATGGTGACAGACAAACCGAAACAAAAACCAACGTGTATTCTTGGACTATGGCAGGTTATGCTTGGAAAAAAAAGCTTGAAAAATAAGATTCAATTTACTGTTAAATAAACTAAAACACAACCCATGTTTCCATTTGGTCTGCAGATTAGTTTATCAAAAAGTCCATCAATGTCTGCATTTAGAAACTCGCTAACCGCGCCGCGGCATTGCTACAACCAACTGAAAACCATTAGGCGGCTCATTTGTCAAAGCCGAAACAGAAGACATTGCACGGAAAACATTACAAGCTCCATTATGCAATAACTTTCACATCAAATATGGACAAAAGACCCTTGATAGAGCTTTTGTGTTCTTCTGTGATTGAAAACATTTGAAACTAAAACATGACCGAGCTCGGTCTGGTAAAAATGAAATTGAGACACATGGTGTGCTGGCCCCTTTAATCCCTGGCAGGCTCCGTGGGCCTGCAGCTCCGCGGAGATTAGAGCTGTTGATTCGGTCAGAGCTGTTGTTGAGCTCATGTCAGTGAAGCTCAAACTTCCAGCAGCTGCCCAACGTAGAGGGGAAGAGTTTTAATTTATGATAATACACACCAAAGTTCTTTTTAGCTCAAATAACAAAGTATCAGCACACATGAAAGCACGGCTAAGGCTCCGGAATGAATTGATTTACCTTGTTGTACTTTTTCCCGGTAAAAGTGTTACAACCACGGAATGGATTACATTTCTGTTGTTTTTGAATGGATGTTTGAGGAACAGTACACTCAGATCCAACACTGTGTTTATGGCAGCACACACACACTTATTTCCTCAAAAGCCTTCAGAAATCTGGCCCTATTATTTAGATATAATCTATAGATTAAAGGCCATTAAAATCCACTTCTGTAAATAAACGTTATTAAAGAAAGAATTAGTGGTGAGTACGTTGAGGCTTTATTGTTGCATTATTGCAATTTTGCACTTCGACAATCGTTTCATCACGCACAAACTCCTTTTTTTCATTATTGTTATTAAGAAAGCTCGTAGTGCACTGGCTCTAAATAAAGATACAGCTGTGCCGTTGTTCCTTCCTGATACTGCTTCTTATGAACATCAATAAGCATTATTTATTCAGCGATTAATGGTGATAAGAAATGGTAATAGTTGCCCACATTCACTAATTAAATACTAAATACTATTGAATAGCCTGTAAAGAAGCTACGTACTTGTGTGAAATGATAAGCCTACAGCTTGACGTAGAAAAAACTATTTTTTTCAACACTGTTCAGAGACACATTCTCTCATTCTTCTCCTTGTCCAGGCTCATTTCAATACTGATACTTCCTGGGGTTAAACATCATTAATACTATTATCAACATTAATCATACTTATATTTTAACGCTGCTCTTCGATGGCGAATTAACAGCCTTACAGATGAAAGACGTGTGCTAAAATCAAATCGTTTGATTCTTCCGCAGTCAGTACAAGGCTGATGAAGTCTTTATGGACGGTGAATGTGTTCATACTGATGTCTTCAGGGACACTTGCTTGCATTTGTATGTGGTTGTGCATGTGCACACTTGTCCTATACATGAGCCTTGTGGATATAATCAGAGGTAATCATAAAAGTGCTGAACTTGACAATCTGCGGCCCGTGATCTAAGCAGCGCCTCATCGAGGTCCGTGCTCCCTCGTCGTGCTGAAGCAGCACTCTCCCTCCTCCCCCCCCTGATCGGGCCCATAAAGATGCAGAAATGTCTCTTTTAACCTTCTGCTGGTGCACATAACTTTAGAGCCCCTTCTTGTTGATTTTTGTCTTCCACATTCAATTGCTTGTTTCTCTCTGGTGTATTTGCAAAAGGGAAACACCCATCGGCCCTTTCTCAAGCTTAACGCGCCCACACACACAAGTGCAGCGCTGTCTGCGTTGACAACACTCAAAGCTCTTCATTGCCAGTGGCTCTGAATATTCTTTTGTCAATCGATAGCTTTTTGGACTTTAGAGTTCCCCTCTCTGAGAAAAAAATAGAAGCTAAATTGGCGAATCAAAAGGCCCCGCAGGGTGGAGAAGGTGGGGCCTGTGTGTTTTCCTTCTCCAGGCTTGGCTTGGGATAACAGTGTTGGAGCAGAAATGAGCTCCTAGGATGGGATGCAAATAAAAGTGAGATGTCAGGGTGAGCTTGGCAGCGCGTTTGGCCTGGAACGTTTCATGTAGGGGCGGGACATCCCACAGCAGATGACCCTACAGACAATCAATGCTGCAAATCTCTGGATGTATCTGGAGCAGACTGCGGATGTTTTGATAAGATTCCAGCCAATGGCAATATTATTTGCTTTGAAACAGTTCTCACTAGTCCTCGTGTCCAAATATAATTCATTTATCATTAATTCAAATGTGACCGTGAACATCGAAATAAAAGACCGCTGCGGGGGACGGTAACTCCCCTGTTGGATGACTAATGAGTAAATCACCGCTTTCTGCAATCAACAGTCCGTACTCTCATCTCATGGCCTCAAACGTTCGACCTAAACAAACATCCAAACCGACTGCCTACGTATGCACGCCGTCTGACTCATTGCTCTCTGAATCCGCCCTGTGGAATTGACTCATCCCCCTGTGAATGCCCAATTGATGCAGTGTCCTAAAGGCGGCCTTGTCTGTTCTCGTCGCTCTCTCTCTCTCTGCCTGGAGCGCTGACCGGCGGTGACCTCCCGTCCCCGGTGCTGACCCCGAACGGAGCTCAGTCGCGATCTTCCTGAAAGGCCTGCAGAAATGCTTGTGGGCTATAAGGCGGAAAACTAAAAATGAGATATATTCATATTTTTTAAAGGTATACCGGCGAAAAAAAGGAAGAAAAGAAATGCATTTTGTATTTGGGTGTGTATGGTGCATACAAAGCTTGGATATGGTCTTTCAAGGATGTGTAAACATTCGATTATGGGAAGAAAGAAGGTTGGCCGTAGTGAGCGGGTGTAGTAGATCGGCCTTAAAGAAGATTCTGGTTGTCTTTCATCCGTGCTCAGTTCTGCCTGGATGTTTAATGAGCCTACTCACCAGGGATTCAATTAGCTAGATGTTTTTTCTCTTTAACGGCAGGTAAGGTCTCCTTTCGCCGTTTCCCATTACTTTCTTTTCTGCGAAAAGTCATTACAGCCCTCCGTGATCTTTTTCGTTCAGCTGAACCTTTTCCGTGTGTTTCTTTTTTTAGTTTAGTTTAACAAACAGTACCATGATCACAGGAGACTTGAAAGATGGTGATAATAGACAAACAGCAGGTAGGCCTGTTGGTTTTTATTATGTCTATTTGCTTAATTGCATTCATACCACACGCCGTCAGCAGAGATCTTTGCCAGGATCACGGCGGTTAACGAGGTTATGCACTAGTATCTGGAAGGGAGGCAACGGGTTGTACATCATCTCTAAGATGATTAAAGGCAGTTCTGTTGATTTTTTTTTTTTTTTGTTGATTTTCCTTCAAAATTCGCATCTGGGTTAGAAAGCAGGCCGAGGTAAGGTGGCGTATGCGAGGCGTAACATTTTGTGCCAGGAACATCAAGTACACTTTTTCTGGATCTTTGCTTCAGTAATTAGAATAAATACTCATCGTGTAAGTTTATTAGATTCACTATCAACGGCCTGATGACCTGCATCAATAGCGTGATGTCAGTGAGTAATATAAATATATACAGACCAATCACCGCCGAACCGATTCACATAAATGTTGCACACACTTGTATTAAACACTGAAATGCAAATCCTGGTTAGAATTCAAAAACGTCTGTGCAATGACTGATAATATGACCATAACTTATTCAACAAGTCATCTTCGATGATTCAGTGCAGTTCTAAAGTATTTACATTTTTTCAATGACGTGTGTTCTGCGTATCTTAAACATTAGACATGACACATCGTTGGGAAGGTCACGTGTCCACATGTAAATTGATTTGGATAAACACTTCCTCTGGAATAAACATCAGGCTGAATCACGGCCAACCGAGGAGCGCCGATGAGTAATGATTAAGAGGCGATGAGAGTCTGTATCTCTGTGGTTGTGGCATTGTACCATTCCAGCTGAGGTGGGGATGGGATTAGAGCCGGTGGAGGTGATGTCAGGGTAAACGGCAAATTGTTGGTTCATCAGGATTAATAAAGCCTCTCCCCAACCTCCCGGCTGTTTTGGATGTACTAGATTTGACATGTTTTGAGTCCTGTGATTAATACACATCGGGGCGTGCCAGCTCTACCGTTTATCTTCAGGGCTTTGGTTAATTCGTGAGATTTGTTGTCTCTCTGCTTCTCACAAAGATTACTCCGCATTCAAGCAGGGTCATCGTCACCCTTTTGTGGCATTACCACAAAACCCTCATTACACTTTCTAACACAGGTGTTCAAATTATTCCTCTTTTACATGGTTATTCCTGCTGTTTTCCTGCTGAAATGTACTAATATCTTTCATCCAAGATAATACTCACATCACGTTTGCACATTGCAGGCTTCCCAATTTTTATTTTCAAGGAGCACCAGTAAACATCCCCACTATGTCCGTGACATAAAAGATACAATACAAGTCCCTCTTGCTGGAACAAGAGGACCTGAGGTCACCAGTGAATCCGGTAGTGGGAGCGAGGGAGGGGCTGCGCGGACGTTTGCAGCCAGCTAACTTTACGAGCAGGGCTCGGATGTGTTGAAATACTCTGAGCAGGAGGTTTTTGTCTTAAAGGCCAGTCTGTTCTCACACGCTGTGTGACATTAGCAGCCATTCCCCTGTACCAACACCGCGCTTGGGAACATACAATTGGTCGAAAGCCACGTCGCACACATTTAATCAACATGACATTATGTGCACATGCCGTCCCGTGCGACATGTGCAAACGCGTCCGAATGTTTTGCGAGCCGGGTGCCCCTTTTAGTGCAATGTGAAAAAACAGACACACACACACGCTTACCACAAGCCCTTGTGCTGGGACTGGAGTTTATGGCAAGTTCCCAACGATAAACACAGCTAAAAAAAGTATTTCAAACATGAGAGTTATTTACAAAATTAAGCAGCAGCAAGATCTCCGGCTGCTTTTATGGACGATGTCGAAACTGCAGAGTGTGGTGAAACTTCGCTGTGCTTTAAAGACGACTTCATCGGAAAGGAAACGCTCCAATCGTGAAATGTGCAACAGATCTGGAGGAGGCATCCGCGGGGAAGGCAAAGCTCAAACTGTGCTTTTCTCCCAATGCTCTATTTTTTGTCCTCTGCCCGCTGCCGGACTCTCTCTTTGTTGTCATTGCCATCTTTAGTAACCCAGCCGGTGATCACACGAAACACTCTAAACGCCACCAGGAGCTGCATTCGCTCGGGAGTCCCAGCAGTACCTGGGACATGCACACTTTTCTTTTTTATCTACACTCCCTTTCATCTGCCTCCTCCTTCCTTCTTCCTGACATCTCCTCTTAGTTCCAGCTGGCGGCGTGGGGATTTGGAAAATAAACCGTTCTATGGACAGGATTGTCCCGATGAGAGGACAAACCTAATGGATGCTGAGGGACACCATGACACTGTGGAAAATGGGGTTGACTTTGAGAAAGGTTATTTCAAGTTCATCTGCTTAGAATAACACCAGATAAGCCTGGTCAGATTTTCTTTTGACTGAAGTTCCAGGAAATGAGAAAAGTTAGTTGTTTGTCCAAATTTGGTGAAGCTCCCAGTCACTCAGATTTGTCCCGGTCATGCTTCTTTGCCGTCTGGCAAGCTTCCGGATTGGATGATGAGTCAGATGTGTGGGCGGAGTCTAAGGTGGCCGCACAGGCAGCGATGTCGGCAGCTCCAGAACAAGATGAAAACCGTACTCCTCCACTGAACCCAGTCTCATCTTTCTTGTTTTGAAGTATGTTAGAAGCTGTTTTGATGATTTCATACTGACTAGCTGCTCCGAGGGTTCGGGAAACGCCTGCATGCCTAATCACGAGCTGACACGAAACTCTTTAATCTTGCTTTGCCTACATTAACATTCATCTTTGCTTCATCCAACCGTGTTCTTCCTCCTAGATGTGAATGCTGATGTCCTCAACTTACAGCATGTTTATATAGACCACCGCTTCCCAACCTTTGACGTACCTGGGACCCTTTAAAACAAAGCAATTCTCTACGTGTAACGTCTTGTTGCAGAATACATACAACTACCAGTTGCTACCACATCAACCAAACAAGGAATTTGCAAGAGAAACATAAACATTAGGACAAATGTGAGGTAGACTAACAACTATTTTTGTGTGACTGTCATCAGGAGGACATTAGGTCATATCGCTGTGTAGATTGGGTTGTTATATACATGTCTAGCATAATATGTTGTATTGATTTTAGGCGGTGGGGTCCATAAAGAGCCCAGGACAGACGAGAGGAACCAGCTGGACCCTGTCGAGCCTTCCCAGTGGCCCGGTGTCAAACTCTTGTCATTTTCTAGTAGATCCTTTTTTCAGTATTTTATGAGATTAGTTTATAAATAAAAGCATCTTACCCTCTAAAACCCTCAAATTATTGGATTTTTTAAAAACACGCCTCACAAGGCGGACATAAACATAGCTTTTCTACTCTTAGTCATATCATCTTGTGACCTCCTTGTTGGTCCTGCCGCTCTGCGTTCGGAACCAACCACCTGCAGCGACTGCAGCACGACGTTCTCACTCCAGTTACACGCACTGCAGGCTCTCGTCATTTCAGCTACGGTGACGCGTTTTAGCCCGGGACGTTTGCGTTAATGAATCGTCTTGGACTTCACCTGAGGCACGACACCTGTGCTGAGCTGGCAGCATATCTGTCTGTGTGGCGCCGCAGACCAGTGAAAATATGGCTCGGTTTGTGGCTGCGTGGTTGGAAATTACGCACGACTGCCGTGCCCCTTCTTAAGAGGTCCCAGGGTGATCCGACCGAGGCCAGGCTGGCTCGTTGCGCGGTCGCACGGTAACGGCTATTTGGCGGAAGGTGTAACGGATCAAATTACCCATGGTTATTACGTAGTGAAAGCTTGTCCTCCACAGTCCAATAAAATGTGTTACTGCGCTTATGAATGGCTCCTTTCATGCTGTATGTTTGGATGTCTTTGATACCATTTAAAAAACATACGGTCAGGTCAAGTTTCCGATCAATATTGCTCTTCCACCCTGTTTCCAATTTGACTATGACTACCAACACGTGGCTCTTTCACTGAGTACTCCTGAGAGGAATATGGGATGTGTGCTCGTATCGTCAAGTCAGGTTTCTTGCATTATTGTTGCATGCGCATTTCCCTCCATTTACAGTGACCAGCGCTGGAAATGCTCAGTACCAAACTAACATAAAAACCCCAAAACTACTGCTCATTTTTTGGGGGGAAGTAGATCTGGTTAAGGGTGTGTACTGCCGACAGAGGCGACGCTTGCAATTCCTGACTCCTGGGAAAAAAAAGTTTAAATCCAGAAGTTGCCATGAGTCCTTGTTTGTGGTCGCAAGCCGGCCCAGCTGTAGGCTTCCTCAATGAGTGTTGTGGGCCACGGCTCAACCCAAGTCTGGTCCTGCCTTGGTATGCTCTCTAGGTCACCGTGACCAAGGCCCAGGCCGTGGAGAGAGCGGCAACAGGGACTGAGCGAGCGAGAGGGAGGGAAGTGAGATTAAAGAGACAGAGATGGGAAAATGATTCGTGACGAGGCACAGTGATTCACTTAGCATGCAAATACACTTCTGGGTAATCACATACTGTGATTACCTTGTACCCGGGAGGCGTTTGATACTCATCCCCGGGTTATAATTCAACTCGTCTATTTCTATTCCTGTCTTCGCCCTGCGTGATGTTTACAATATCCAGTTTGGCTCATCATGAGCCCATTATAGGCCCCAACACAGCCGAGCGTGTTTCATTTCAATGCTACAACAGGCTAATGAACAAGTATCGATTTATCTAACAATCGCGTCAGAGAGCTGAATTAATTCAGTATAAGTCACTTGCTCTGGCCAACACGCCGCTCTACCAATCGCTGTCCTGCTCTCTCTCTCAAACACACACACACACAAACTCGCTCTCCCTTCTTCTCATCACCGTGGCAGTGAAAACAAATCCTGACATTAGCAAATCATCCATTGCAGGACAGCGTAATGTATGTACTCTCCTACTCGCTGTACAGAGCCACCAGATCCAACATGTCCTCCCTGTACTTAGTTCTGCCTAAAAAGCACTGACATCGTAATGAAGGGATAAGATACTTCTTCATGCAGAAAGAAAATCACAAAATATAAATGACTGTAATTTGACTACATTTTTGGACAGCACACTTGGTTGCCGGTCTGACTAGAGCATAATATGCTCCCACACTGCGCCCGTGTGGCAATTGCTGCGAACTGAAAAGCCATCATTTGAGTTTGAGAGTCAGGAGAACCAGGCTAATGTACATTTAGCATCATTAAGCAATGTTAAGCTTCTAGTTGTGGGTTTAAATATTGCTGTCGTGGCGTTAAAATATTAGTCAAAATGTACATTTTTTAACATTCAAAATTAAAGCTCGGACCCCTAAACCTCTCTGATGACCTCTGTTAGTCCCAATCTCGTTGCTGTTTTTTCGGGCAACTCACTTCTGGAGTTTCAGCTGGTCGCGGTTGAGTGTCCTCGACATGGAGGAGATTGTGACCGAAACGTAATTAACCTCAACTCAATGCCCATAATCTGATATGTGTTTTGATGTTACAGGCATGCAGAGACAACATTACACCTTGTCATGACCATTCAACCAGCCGCTGGTGGGCAGCAGGGAGCCATCTGGTGGAATGCTGCAGTACTGCTAGATGGTTAGAATGAAGACACGTGCATGTATTTTAATAGTTCACAAAGATAGATTTTCTAAAAAAAATTGAAGATCAGAATTGACACAATCAACAATAAAAAACAACAGCAAGTTGAGACCAACATTTTTTTAAACTTTAATTTAGCCACTGAAATTGTTATTCACAACTATAACGCCAAGCTCATTTAATACACTTTATTCATAGTAAGTGAGGTAGAGCAGTCCTTTCCCCGACTACCAGTCAATGTGACTACTTGGTTACATGAACGTTAAACGGGTTACAAATTAGTTTGAGATAAAAAACAAGGCTCTATTGTTAAAAGCCTTCGATGCACGCTTTGAGAGGGGGCAGTTCCATGGATTACAGCTGTAATTTGCCGGTGGTTTGCTTTGAGGACATTCCCAGGCCTGACTGTCACGACCGTGTCTGTCACTGGGTGTAACTGATCCCCACCTCGCCGACGCACCAGCGAACGCACTGCAGGCTGACTCAACAGACCGCACAGACTTCGGGGAAAAGATTATGCGGCCCAATTAGATCGGCAGGAACAAGAACGAGTCTTGTCCCACACCCGCAAATCACATGCAGGCGAGCATCACTTCCTGACCAAGGTAACCATTTTTCTCTTGTACATGTGCACACTCACACGCCTCTCGGGGGCCCTCAAAAACACACACACACACACACAAAGCGTCCATTTTCACAGATTTAACTACACAGGCATATCAATTCAATGCAAAACTAGTTTCCTTTTATGGTTCGAAGACAATGAGTTAATTTAACAATCATGGTCGACAGTGCCAGAGATTAATTTAATTAGAGCATCCTAATGCTCTATGTATACATTTAAAATAGTAACTAACCCTTTATCCCAAAGTGCCCCCCTTGGTCTTCTGTAAATGGATGACGAATATAAATTCTTCAATTACATTTATTTCCCAGTAGATGGCAGCATCGGTTTTAACAGCCAACTCCTACTCTTTTAACTTCGGTGCATGTTTGTTTCAGAAAGAACCAAAGGGACACTTGGACGTGCATAGGAGGAAGGGACAGAGAAGGCACGATGGACAGATGGACTGAACCAAGACTCAAAATTGATGACAAGGACAGAGCACGGACGCTAAAGACACAAACAAAGGTCAGCATCAGAGCATGTGAATGGAGAAGAGAGCAAAGGGGAAATTACAGGACCCAGAGTGTTGAAGCATCCCCCCCTCCCCCCCCATCCAGCCACATGCCCACATGCCGAGGAGGGCATGGATAACTGAGGTTAGAGGTCTGGGGGGAGCTGGAGGGGCAGTTGGTGTATGGAAGGCAGACAAGGGCAGGCAGGGGCAGAGCCAGGAGAGTAAACTTTGCCCCGGAGCGCAGACGGGCGGAGCAGACCGCGGCCCTCTGGTGTGGTACGACCACCTGTTGGTCGGTCTGTCTGTCTGATCCGGGCCACAGTGGCGTGATCTTGTGCTTAAGGTTGACAGCTCTATTGTAAACTTAAAAAACAATTCAAGCGTGTCACCGCGGATGAAACCGAAAGATAAAATAGGTCATGACATTACGCGCTTCCATAAAATGTTCTACCTACTGGCTGGTTGATCACAGCTTGGCTTCCATTTGCGTGAAGAAACCATAAACATGGACCAACACGCAAAGAGGGAGGCTCACTGTCGCATCTGGACTCTCTACTGTATATACCGCCTGTGTAAGCAAAGAGCACTCAGTGCAAACAGTCCAGTTTCACCTCCAACGTCGAGTACATTTGACTCAAGGCAACAAACACACAGGCGTCCACACACTGAGACATGCCAGCACACAGGGAGAGGGCTTGCAAGGGTGTTGAGTGATGGGGGTCAGGGGTCAGACTCTCTGCTGCTGCAAAGGGTACACACACACACACACACACACACACACCCCTCTGCCAGGACAACACATGCGCACACAGACAGACAACCATGCAGTGCATCTACTAAATTTTTATTTAATCAGAACATCGGCATACCCCCCCCCCACGCACTCTCACACATGTAGAAATGGCCCCCAGGCGCTCGGTGAGGTGGACATTTGAGATCATATTGTAGATGGAGCGATAGGGAGGCAGCTTAGCTACAGTTACTTGACACCAGAATAACATATATGGGATTATGTACTTATTATACACGGCAAGATTGTGCAAACTTCTGTGAAGGCAAATGAGTGAGAGGAGTGACCATGCTGCAGGCAGAGGAGGAAAGGGCAAAGGTCAGTTATCCAAATGAAGTCAGGCAGATGGTGGCATTGACGAACCCATTACCAAAATTGCTTTCTTGGCAGCAGTCCCAGTGATTAGTACCATGTTTTGTCGTGATCAGGCGTATCCGTCAATCACCCACAGATTGTAAACTGGACACATCATCATACGTCTGGGTTTTGGGTTCAGAGGCTTGGACTATAACTGAGCAAATGTGTCCCTGGAGTGCAGCGTCATTGGCAGGATCCCTTTTTATAGATTAGCCCCTCCCTGGCATTTTTTGGGGTCTTTACCACTACAATAAATTACAAAGCATTTGTAATTTATCGACAGGGATTACGCATGGGGCTGGTGAGAGTTTAAGGCTATAGAAAAGTCACATTCTGGATACAGGAGGCGGTACTATGTTGGTGTCCTTGTCATCACCTCCAAGAAATACAATGAACTACTTTCGGGGTTTTTTCATCTGTATTTTCTGGTTCAGATCTGAAGTTACAAGGATCAAAAAAGTGTTCTACATGTGGAATACTGCTCTCTATTGCTTTCCATCTGACAGGGAAACAAACAAGTATTTGCCTCCATAAACTGTCCAAACAGGGAGGGCCCATCACCTACCGTCACTCGAACACACACACTGTAAAACGGAAGCCCTCATTTCCCATCGCTGGATTCTTATCTCGTGTCAATCTGTAACCTTTTTTAATACACATTCATTTTCTGTCACCAACACTTCACAGGAAAAGGCCTGCTGGGATGAGATGCTTAGCTGCGCCGGCTCAAACGCACGGGCGGTACTTTCCCTTCATTCTCGAGCTCCTCCGTGTGGAGGCCGCATTCCCAGCACCACTCGGGGGGGGCTCCAGTGAGCGGGCCACGACACCAAACCCACCCGGAATTCTAGGAACGTTTTCTCTTTGGTCTCAGGTTACCACACACACACACACACACACACTGAACACAGATCAGAGGCATGCGCGCACACACACACACACACACGCACGCACGCAACACCCTCCACAGTAGTGTACTGTACTTTTGTTGTTTGTACAGAGCTGGTTTTGTTGGCTTTCCCTCTCTCCTCCCGTACCTGTCATTCATTTTCATTTTAAACACACATACTGACAACTTGGACTAACGCTTCAACTCGCAGTTGGATTCAAACCAGACTTCTTGTTCAGAATCTCACTCGGATGGTAAATACCACACACTGAAAGCCCAAACCGGTACACACATCCGCACTAAAACTCAATCCTTGCCGACGCTCGCCACGGGCCCCAAATTCAGCCTGGTAGGTTTACATTACATCACACAAAACTCGGCTCACAATTCATACAAAAATCTGCACTCAATCAAGCTCTTACTGACATCGGTAAAGTCTGCTGTATCCCCCAGGAAAAAGGATAACCGTGTCCCTAAAAATAGTCATTACAGAGGGTTCAGCCCTGTAAGTCAGACATGATCATGCTGTGTGCGCATGGATGTGTGTTGGGTCTGTGAACGTATCGGGTGTAGAGCGCGAGCCGCCTGTGGCACACAGAAAATGTGATGGGCTATAAGGCCGTAATCCTGTGTCACCACGGCTACAGAGCGACGGATCAAAGCGGAGGTTTGAAAGTGCATTTTCTCTCATCCTTTTGAAAAGCGTTAAAAAATGCACAGCGTCCTGAGCGAGTCAGTAAGTGTTTCTGATATGGTTTGTATATATGAGACTGTTTAAACCTGAGAATATAAGTCTAGTCCCTTTGTACAGAGAGCAAAGGGGAAGTTACAGGACCCAGAGTGTTGAGCCTCACTTTGTAAGTGAGAATCAGGGTTTTCTTTGGTATAAGCACATTGAAGTTTGTGCCGCCTATCAAATTCCCACTTTTACACACGAGGGATTGGATGTATACTGCAACCTCATTTTGTACGCTTAAACCTGAAAAACTGAACTGAAACCCCAAAACAAACTTTAATAGGAACCAGACTGTTGACACAGGCAGAGACAGCGATTGCGACACCGCGATAAGCAACACGGAGCGCGTGCCGAGCACTTCCCATATAGTTATCGTGTCTTTTCAAAAGCCATTTTATGACGGCAGAGAAGAAATTTTCTTCCTGGAGCATTTATTGTCGACTGTTTTTTTGTTTCGGGCTGTGTGGTATTCATATTCACATGTGAATATAATCACTGGTGCCGACATGATTTTGGGGTTTTGTACTTTTTGTCAGCTTGCGTGCCGCGTCAGAAATCCCTGTAAACAGAAATACAGAAATACTCGAGAGGCAAACACACACGCGGACCACAGCGACCGCTATTGGCTTACCACCCAGACACGCAGCAGTGAGGACTTCAAACAGGCTCATAGATGCAATTAAGTCACAAAGGCTGAGAGCTCTCCTAAAGCGACTTCTTCCTGCAGCCACTGACCCACAATCCCTCATTTTCTCCCTTCAGCCGCCCGACAGTGCACATCTCCTTCCAGTCATTGTTTTCGCATCCAAACTTCCTTTCCCCCTGCACAGCAGGTTCAGCGCTCTGTTTCTCCTCCACCTCTCCCGCTATGAGTTTGATGCCTTGCCAATGGGCAAGCACAGAGGTTAGTGGGTGCGCTCTGTCTACCTCGGCCAGTAGGAACCGCTCCAGTAAAACGTGCCTATTGTGGCATTTTAATTATATTAGCTCAGCCCAATCCACCGGCTGGAACAAAACAGAAAGGGCGAGGCCGTAAAACTGTGTCCCTCCTGTGAAAAGTGATGGGATTGAAAGCAGTTGGAAGCGTATTTCACAAAAATACAAACCATAAAACTTAAACTTGAGGAGGCCGAAACGCATAAACACTCTTCACTCAGAGGCACGTTGAGTTGCACAGTGAGGCCAATAAAAAAATCACATTTTTGCCTCCATATTATATTATATAGTATCACATATTAATGCCAAAGTCTGGCAATCCAAGCATATCAGCAAAGAGAATAAATGACGCACGGCTCCTGCGATATGATTGCTGTTGTTTTCTCTTTCCCTCACATGGACGCACACACACAACATACGGAAGCAGGCTCACAGAGAGAGGTCATGCTGAGGTCCCAGCCATCAACCCGGGGTTATGGGAAAGGGATGGGCCACTGAATCGGAGCTGAGGACACTCTGAGAGGGACAGGGGAAGGACCCAGAGGTCATACGCAGACGCCAAATGCAAATGGCACAGGGCAAAAAGTTCGGTTGGAGCAAGTTAATGCGTGTATTCTACAACTCCTCATTATTTCTCTGATGTCTGTTCTCACGACATTACTGCACCACCATGTCTGTGTTTATGTCAACATAAAGAGGAATAATACAAAACATCAAACTGACTTGTGCACATTGACATGCAGGGACAGGGTCAGAGCAGGGAATGTCCTTCCGCCGCACAATAATTCATTGCCCCGCTGTGCAAGACTTTGATTTTCTGATTCCTTTGTATTTTTCCAACTGAGCTCCTCTGACCCAAGAGACCAAGACAGACCGCAGTGGAGATACAACTCTGAGTTGATGGGACCTGAAGGGGCAAAAGTGAGTAAAAGGGGACACACACCCACTCAAGTTCAGACCTCATCTCTACTGCAGTGACTCTTGCACTATGCGGGGTTTTCGTTGTCCTATTACTTCAAGTGAATAATCTTTACAAATGATCTGTGCTGAATTCAAATTAAACAACAAAAAAGTGATGTGTGTTTTAGGCCCCAGTGCTGTGGGTTTTACCGTGGCGCTCTCTCGCTATACAGATCAATCCGACGAAAGATGGTAGTGAGCTGCCCACTAAGCATTATCATCTCTGACAGTTGACTTATTTCAATGGAAAAAGACAGACGCACACTCTGCTTACAAATACTGTGGGGAATCGGCTCAAAACAAATTGTGTCTAAGAAGCTGTTGATAGGTGCCAAAGTCCATCTAAATAATGTCTTAACACATGCAGTCTGTGCAGAGACCGGCCACTTAGCAACGGCTGTGCCGAAATGCATCCGTGCCATCTAAATCTATTACTGGCGCACCCAGCAGTGTCATCAGAAATGTCGGAGTAGCAGAGCTTCCCATAAGAGCCGGCTGCCGGCCAAAATAGTTTGCAACTCATCTAAGTCCAGCCAGTTAATTTATTATATTCACTTTTAATCTGATGAAATTGTTTTCGTTAGTTGCATTTCGCTTCATGTGCATAGATTTTTCCGATCATTAGCCTCAGCTTCAAAACATGCCAGCATAATATCTGTATCAGCGCCGCCCCCACATGCTCCATATGAATGTGTGTGGGACAGTTTGTGTCCTGTTGACAAGCAAGCGGGGAGTCGTCTTCACTTATTTTAAATCACTGATAAAACCCTGTAAAGATTTTACTGACTGCACGGACAAAACTCATCCTCTTAAGTCGAAGTGTTGAGAAAAAACAAAATTCATAATACGGACTTACGGTTATTAATAACAAAAGTAATAATCATTCACGAATAGGCATGGTTTTAAACGTAAATAGCAATTTAAAGACTGTGTGTGCTAAAACACACAAGATGCCTACTTCTCCTCTTCAAAAATGCCCTTGAAGTTCGCTATCGGGTCTGCGATTGCCACATTTTCTTTTAGTGGTTCCGAAAGACTTTTTAATTCATTCTCCTATTTATTTTTCCTCTTTCTATCATACCATCAATTTAGAGTATAGTCTTATCTTATTACACCAAAACAGGAAGCGCACCACAACGAGTCCTCTGTTTGTCAGTGCGACCAACATACTTTTTCATTTCAAACGATGTATGTTGTTTGACTTGGCTGATACGGTTAACTTTGTTCCGTATGTACACGCTGCATGCACGGCTAAAAAAAAGGGGAGGTTATTTACAGTGGAATAATTATAGTGAAGAAATATGGTAATGATTTACCCAAGTGTGTGATAAGACTGTAACAAAAACTAAATTAAAAAACGGTTATTTTGGTTGATCTTATCTTTCCAGAAAAAGATGCAGTGCAAAGTATCAACACGTGTGATGCTAGAAAATGTTCAGAGATGTTTGAACGCAAGCCAACGCGCAGTTTTAGTCACAAGTACAACTGTTTGCCCCTCGCTCGCCCCTCTGTCATCAGATGCGGGGTGAGGAGAGGGAGGGAATTTCAATCCCCAATGCCATTCGTGTGCTTTGAAGTATTACGACACATGTTCTCACATGTGGATGTGTGTATCCTTGCCCGAGCAGTGAATGGTTGTGCCTGAATGAATGAGCCCCCCAGCTGTTGACTAGCATGGATCTTGTGTGGATTGATATGTCAGTGCCTTTGTGTGTCTAAGTCCCTCCTTTTGTGCAGGGAAAACCCACACAGCCCTCAGAGGCTTTTTGCATGTCCACCACACAGTAGGTGGGACTATGGCTTTTGCTAACGCTGTAGCAGCTTAGCATGGCCATTTCCGTCATTGCTATTGGTGTTTTTTTCACATCTTTTTCACGTTTTTTTCCCATCTCTCATATTTTCTGCCCCTCTCTCTGCTGTGTGATCTACTTTGCTGCTCTGATGCAACTTTCCCAGGCCTGGTGCGGCCAGTCGCAGTCGTTGGGTGGTGGAGGTGTGGGGGGGGGGGGGGTGCAGGCGATGTCCAAGTCTTTCCCATGCAGCCTCATAGGAGGGTCTTTGTTCACCCTCCAGGCTTTTGGGGGTCCACTGTAGGCCTGTGCCCCACTCCACTGACTCTACAATGGGTCTTTATGCTGCCAAGGTCCTCCCACCCCCACATTACTCTATCATGCTTCCCTCACCAGGGGCACAGGGGGCACCACGGCACCCAAACGCCTTCCCTTTTACATGCCCTGTCCGCCCTCCTTCCTCTCTCTCTCATACATGCCAGCAGAGTCAGATACAGTGGAAAAGGTTTGCTGAATAGCCACAGACCGATCCAAGCCGTTTATGAGTGGTGCCAAATGTACTCTTTTCTCATTCAGCATGAGAACACTTGACACCGCGATCAAAGGCCTGGCTCTCACCGGGGAGTGTGTGTGATAACAACACACCGTTGTAATCCATTAGCACCGCTGTAAAGCCAGCGGCCTTGGTTGGAATAGTGGCGGGCACTCACTTACATGCAAACAGGGTACTGAAATACTGAACCGGTTTTGGATACTGTGTGCCTCGCACTCGGTTTACTAGCCCCATGCATGCGCTCCCCATCATGGAGCAAGCACACACATGTTGGCTGCCCCCTGTAGTTTGTGTGCTGACACAAAGTGACAGGCCTGATGAATGCGTGGTCTGCTCAACATGCCTGAGCCACTGGCAGATCCTGTGCAGTGGGGAAGGATAGAAGAGCTGCCACATTAAAGAACATTTTAAAACTTAACTATTTCTAAGCATGATTAAAGCTCAACTCATTCATGAACAGCCCTCGCAAAAGTGCCGACCACTGCGCATAATCAAAGGGTCTTTTTTCGCAATCAGCGACGTCTGTTCAAACTAATGTTTTCCCTTGTACTCGTGTGCAGATTAACGTACGGTTTAATCAAGCAAAACGGACGCCGGCCGAAGGGTCTGACAAACACTCAGGGGTGGATCAGGGGGGTAAAGGCCTCCCCGGACCTCTGTTTTTCCCTTTGTGAAGGCCCAATGCTGGCAGTGCCCAGAGGGGAGGTTGCCATGGTAACGCGAGCCACTGCAGAAGGAGAGCGTAACCTTGTCATAACTGTGGAACAAGTTTTAACAGAGTTTAAGGAACGGATCCAGCGGGGGAATCAGTTACAGACTCACATTGGCTCAGGAGTCTGTATCAATTCTCTGTTCTTCTCATGCTGACTGAGAAAGCACATCACCATAACCACACACACACAGAGTAAGGGATGCACCCGAAACCATAAGCAGGAGAAGATTTCCAAGGCCACACCTATAAATCAGCCTAGAATGAAAAAACCCATGAAATATAAGAAAGAAAGAAAATTGAGTGCGGGGAAAAAAAGAGAAAAGCACGGATAGCAGCTCATCAACTGACCAATACACAGGAGAGTGTAACTATTTGTTCTGCCTCCATTCACTCCATGTGAAGATGCATTTAATGGCTTCCTTATTTCCACATTGATTAAAAACAGACAGCCACACTCACAGAATCTTACACAAGCACACACACATAACTAAAGAGGGGTTGTCACTTTTTCCTTGGATCTGAACATAGTAATAACTTGTACTTTCCAAAGCATAGAATTAGAGTACAACAATATCCGATGACTCTGGACGACCTGTTTGGAAGGATGCTTACAACCAGTCGTTCATAGAGAAAATGAAAGTGCTGCCAAAAAAAGTGTTTTTATGCAAAAACTAAGTTCTACTGCTGTTACAGCAAAGCAACTCATAATACCAAAGTGAATCTTTGCTGCTGTTTTTAAATATGAAAAAATCGATTTGGGACAGACAATTTAATCAAGAGTCCGCTGAAGGGGATCGTGTTGAAAATCCTACAATTTCAGTTATAAAACTTTCCATGAGAGAATGAATGTGATATCTCAAGTACAGCTATCCACAATCTGGAGTTTATCGTAAATGGAGGCGTTAAGGGGCTGAAGTCATTCCTCTTACCTCTCCACCACTTCGTCTCCGCTCCAGCACGTGGAGTCATCCACTACATTCTCCCCTTCGCACAGCATCTCTGGCAAGGCTGCAAAGAAAGACTTGTAGCGCTGCAGGTACATCAAGAATTCCCTGAGAAGAAAAGCACACGGGGGGAAGGACACCCTTTGAATAGACAGGATGTGCCCTTCATTCAACTATACACGCTGGTGATGAATACAACGGACAACATCGATGGCGGCGGAAAGCGAGCGGCTTTGAATGTGACCACCTCGCCAAGTCAGCACATTTTTCTGAAATATACTTTGAGGAAAAGTGCTTGCTTCATCAGATCTGCTAAGACATGCTATCGAGACGGACACTGTCTGTCATCTCAAGCAAAATAAAAGACTTGATCGGTCACACGTTGATGCCGACCATACAGCTGGCGTCGCGAGAGCTTATGTCCCGAGTCACTCAAAGCCAGCAGAGGCTTCTTCAAGCACCACGGACGATGAGAACGCAAAACATAAACAATGCATCCAAAAGACAATCGACAATGAAATGTGACAATATGAGAGGGTGTGTGGAAGAGTGAGAGCGATGAGTCCCTTGGGTTCATGCTTACCTAGAGAGTGTTCTCAGACTATGTTTATTGTTCTTGGAGGGTTTCAGGGGGAAGGAGCTGGGAATGATGGGAGTTGGCGTCCAGGGGAGATTGTTGCAAGCAAGGAGGATGCGGGGAGTTTGAAAAGGTGGGACGTGAGAGACAAAAAGAAACAAGAGGATGACACGACGAGACACATGGGGTGGGGGGGGGGAGAAAAAGATAAGTCAGTCGAACCTGGAAGAGAGTTGTTATTCATGCACATGCAGAGACTGGCCACACCACAATCAATAACCACCACACCAACAATAAAACAGATATTGATATGTAATCTATATGTAATCAAACACTCAAGCAGAACAAACATCTGGACATCATAAAATAAAAAGGTACATGTTCAAAGGAAGTTCGGCTGAGCTTCTGCATTCATATTTTCCCTCATTTAAACAAAACGGAAATGTTATTTCTGTATGACGTTTGATAGTTTTTTAGCAGCAAGCGGCTCTCCCTTCGCTACGGGGGCCGCCGGGCCTCTGAAGTGGTCGGTGCTCACAACATGTGCTCAGGGCTGGCAGCGGGCAGGGAGCTGGATTGTGTTGGTGGCGGTGCCAGGCCGGGCCCGTCAGCTAGGCTGGCATCAGCGCAGTGATTCATGATTTGGGACAAGCTCGGGCCGGCAACACAGCGTTGTGTGTGCGTGTGTGTGTGTGTGTGTTAGTGTGTCCGTCTGCAGCGCTATTTAAGCTCAGGCCCGCCTGGTGTGCAGAGTTGGTGGTACGGTCGTCTGGGTAAACAGGAAATCGTTGGTTCGTCACGATTAATCCCTTCCAAATCCCCCCCTCTCTTGCCACATCAGTGCCAGCTGCAGTGGGCAAAGGATGGCGGACTCAGAGGCCAGATGGAGGGCATTGACTTTAGTGCCTGGCACTTCCTTTACGTACTAAGTGTGTGTTTGTGTGTGTGTTGGGTCCAACCAACCACATGAAGAAAAGAGAAGTGATCTAATTTAACAAGCAAGAAATATATTCAACTACTTGGCATTCAGATGTACAACAGGCACTACCGAACTTTGGGAACTTTGAATTCATTGCAGTTCAGTGCTTTGTCTAACCTCCTCAAGTGGGCCAATTGGCCAAGCCACTGCTCTGGTAGACGTTGGGACGGGGCGGCAGATGGAGGAGGAGGAAGGGACGGGGTCACCGTGGAGGTCGAGGTTGTGACCTCCGGGGTAGTAGGCGGCATGTTTGTAGGTTCCCCAGTAGACAGGCCACACACCTTGTCCACCTGTGGGGAGAGCAAACAGACACACACACACACACACACACACACACACACACACCTGTTAAGCTTGGAAAACATATAACAGCAGGGGGTGGAGCTGCAGGGTTTCTTCCATAAACCACCCATTGTCACCTGCACGGTTAAAAGCATTTGAACTAAAATAAGTCAATTAAAGTGACCACTTCCTTTTCTTTTGATGATGATGATGCCATCAATTCTGAAATGAAGAATTACAACATTGCAGTTGAATGTCTGCAAGTTGAAGACAGGCGAAAAGAATTATGGGCCGGAGAACTTCGGCGTAACGGGCAACATGTAAAAAAAAAATAAAGTCTGCATGAAGTGGGAGATGCGATGAAAGAAAACGGCGTGATGAGTGAATTATTGCCAGGAGGGCTGACAGTAAATGTAAAACATTCCACTACCTCATGGGGGTGAACGCACGCACGCACGCACAGTTGGCAGCGAAGATCTCCAGTGGCTGTTAAAAGCAGCAGCGGTGACAGCGGGGTCATGAGGATAAAGGGGGCTGTGCTTCAAACCCAGAAGTAAAATCGATGACATCTCATTGGCTTAAAAGCCCCTGGCCAGTGTTATTAAGTGGTCCTCAATTAGCCGGAGAGACAGTTAGCCGTGACTCTTGTGCACGCTGCAGCGGGTCCAGCAACCCATGAATATGCGCTGCTTTGTCCAGAGGGATGAGTCGTCGTAAAATGTGAGGACGTCCAACAGGACCAAGTAAGCTTTAGCAGAACCACTCGTTCAGAAAAGGAAGCCCCGCGGTCAGAAGCAGCAAGCAGGGGCCAAAACAATGGAATGCACAGATGCAACAGATACATAAACTTAATTTGGGTCTGTCTGTGTTTAAATGGTTGTTTGAAGGGGTGTCTCCGTCCACATGCTGGGAACAGTTTGGGAAATAAGCCTTGAAGCAGCTGAAATATGTGTTAACAGTCACAAAATGCGTCTTGCCAGCCTGCTAAAAATACGCCTTCCCCCCGTGGGTGAGGCCGGTCAGTTATCTTACAAACGGAGGTATTCACATAACAGACGTCTCTTCCAAGGCAGTGGAAATATCAGTGGCCCAGGAGGTGCGTTTTATAACTTTAACCAACCACCTGAATATTTTTTCATCTTCGCACCGTTTGCACTGCACTCTTCCCTTTCTCTTTTATTTCTTTCTTTTTCTTACCACATTCTCAGTCCTGAAGGCAGACGTTGGGCACGAGGAGGGTTGTTTTATTTGCATTAGCCGTAACTCCCTCCAGACCAATAAAACATGCTGACATGTGGTAGAGCGGCTCACAGCCACACATGGCCGTGGCCCACGCACGCGCACACACAACAACGCCACACGCGCTCACGATCACTTTGTGGTGGTGAGAAAAGATAGAACATAGCAACTGCGTTGGCCGTGATGCCCTTTCAACATACTAAGACACATGCTCTTTGCATGTGCTGCAATGCTTCTGCTGGCTATTACTGTCAAATTCGCAGCATGACGTGTTCAGACCTTCATCAGAACAATCATGAACCTGTATGGTGGATTATTTACTGCCATGAGTTTTGCCACATTAGAGTATCTGAGCAAAGGTAATCGACAGTAAGGACATTCCAACATTTATAGGTGTGTATATATTGTGTTGATGAGGCTTTCTTCCATCCAGCATCACTGACACCGGCGAGTATTAAAAGCGCTAATGTTTGTAGCAACAAAACAAAGTGACTCAGCAAAAGGCGATCGTTCCAGGCAGCAGTGAAGCTATAAATGTCAAGGCTGATTAACTTTTGCAATGTAAACGTGCAACATTAGGTACTTAGCCTGCAGGGCGGATTTCACTATCGAGCAAAAAAACATTTAATTGACACTAATTCCAGGGATTTAAAACAGATATTTTGGGCATCATACAGTCCCGTAACGTACTCCGTAGACTACAGCCTTTGGGAGGTCTACAGTGTGTGTGTGTGTGTGTGTGTGTGTGTGTACTTGACAGTGGTGGAGCTGGCGGCCGGGCAAACAGCAGTACACTTGAATGATTCCTCATTGAAAAGGAGCTGTACCGTACTACTCCATTTACCACATTACTAGATAATAAAAATAGGTATTGTTATTTTTTTTGCTTAAAGGAGAAAATTGTTTTGAGGAAAATGTGTGTATATAATATTATTATAATTGAAGTGTATTATTAGAATAATACTAATAATATATAATAACGAAGCGGAATATTGAGGATTTAGACCGGAGCTAATCCTGTCGTTGGGAACTTTTCAAAAGGGGAAGACCAAAGTTTGAAATCCAGTGCCGTTTCTCACCTGCCTTTGTATAACTTTTTGCTATTCCACGAGACAAAAATGTAAACATCCGTGTAAAATACGAACACCAAGAGGAGGTCATTCACAGTTCTGTTTGTATTACGCCATCATTTTGAAAACCAAACCACGCAGCTACTTTTAGGCTGGAAAAGATTGAACAAAGGCCACCGTTTCAAAACAGAAACGCTTACACAAAACATTCTTATGCCTAACTAAGCACACAAGAGCGTAAACAGAACACAAAGTCATGGTTGAGAAAACAAACAGCATCCCCGTTATGGATCCTCTTGAGAAATGGAGACATGCTCTCATAGGTTGGCTCTTGTCACCACATACTAGAGAGGGCCAATCAGACAACAGGTTGAATAACAACACGGGTTGGAACCCGCTGCCATTAATCAATTTTCTCCTGACCTGATGATGGCGTGAGAATGAAAATCCCATTGGGGCACAGCGTGATTACCCGTTTTTTGTGTGTCTGTGTGTGTGTGTGTGTCTGTGTGTGTGGGGGGAGGGCGGGAGCACCTGTTTGTCCTTGTTATACCTTCACAATTTCAGCTATTTTGCAGAGCATTCCTCATATGATTGCCTGAGGACAGTCGGATGGGTGGGGGGGGGGGGGGGCAGACTGATGGGATGCATGCCGTGAGGAGCTCAGGGACACACAGGCCATGTATTCTATGGCCATTTAAGTCAGCCAGGGCAATTGGATTCCTACTGTGTCTTCTTACTGTTTCGCAGAAACAGAATAGACTTTATTTCACTCAAAGTCAACTAAACGGTGTTTAGCTCAAGAGCGCTGTGTTTTGCACATATCATCGGCTCAAAGCTCGCCAAGCCCTGGGCCATCCCTCCTCTAGGGGGAGTATCGGCTTACAGATAGCAGCGGTGGTCTTGTCTTCCCAGTTTATTTATCAAGGGATTACCCAGTGAAGTTAATGGAATTTTTTCAGCCCCCCCCCCCCCCCATTCACCTCAGGCACATTGCTTTGTGGGATGAAAGGCGCTGGTTTGGTCAGTGAAGAACCCTCTGTTCTGCTTTTACATAGTTTGCGTGGTAAATGTGCAGATACGCATAGAATCTGCTCGCCAAACGCCGCGCACTGTTTAGCTCTGGGAACAGAAGCACATTTGTCGGCTCTGCCAAAGTGAACAATGGATGTATATTATTTTTAACAGAGCTCAAAAAGTCACACATCAGACCAGTCCCATGCTGAGATTGTGTTATTAAACACTCTGGACGTAGCCAAGTCCATATGCTCTTTAGGGATTGTGTGTATGACAGTTATCAACAATTGGGGTGAGTAGCTTAAAGGGCACAGTACTGCAGATCATTGACATATGTCATTAGTTGTACTTTTGGAAAGGAATCGCTTCAAAATTATTAATTGCACTGTCTCTGTGGTGTACATTTTATCAATTCACAATGGAAAAAAATGTAAATCCTTGGGAATAACTTTAGAACTATTAACATACCAGTCACTGTCATCTTAAGACATCTCATGATCATGAAACATTCCGTAACCAGAAGAAATTAGATGCACACCATGACAGAATACTCTAAAACACTGAAATTCAAAGTGCTTATATTTGGGATTAGATACTGCATGTGATGCACAGACAAAGTCAGACAACAACAACAGAAGTGCTACTTTTGTACCAAGCTGGACCACCTTTGGAGTAGGAACTTTATCCAACATAAATGTCATTGTTGTCCTGAGAGAAATGTACTGCCATCTGTATATATGAGGGAGATATATCTCTCTCCATATATAGCAAGGTTTCAGCAGGATAAAAAACACGTTGCCTCTTTATTTACGTATTAAGGTGACTAGTTTGATTTTGGCAGCACAAGTTGTTGTGGTTGTGAGGGCCTCGGGGGTTAAGGAAGCAAGCTTGTGGAAAGTTGCCAGACCAAACCTTGGACCATCTGGGGAAATCTGGGTGGGTTAAGGGAATATGGAGGTCTCTCTCCTCCTGCCTCAACGATACCATCAGGCTGTTTTTATGTTTAAGATACGCATGTAGGCTTTAAGGTGGGGAGTCAGACCATTATGGCCTCAAACAGAGCTCAGCACAATATGGTAGTCTTTCCTTGTTTTGTGTATAATACACATGGTTACTGTACATGGTTACTTATATAACAACATATTCCCAAGGGTCTAAATCGGATCCGGGTGGAGCTGGGTCTCCGTAAAATGTTAATTACCCACAATGTCAAATTGTCTGTAGAACTGGTTAGTTACATACCTTTCAATACATAAAGTAACAGTAGAGTTTTCCTATATATATCAAATTAATTTAATGCATTAATGGTGGATGTGTAGTGTGACAGACAAAAGTCCATCCCAGCCAACAGGTGATAGACAGTGTTCACCCTGGATTGGTCGCCAGCCAATCGCAGGGCTACACAGAGACATCCAACCATTCACACTCACATTCACACATCTACGGGCAATTTAAAGTCCCCAATCACCCTGATCCCCAGAGCACGTCTTTGGACTGTGGGAGGAAGCCGGAGAACCCGGAGAGAACCCACGCAGACACGGGGAGAACATGCAGACTCCACACAGAAAGGCCACTGGGCGAAGACGACCCCAGGACCTTCTTGCTGTGAGGCGACAGTGCTAACCACCTCACCACCGTGCTGCCCCCTAATCAATTCATATAAGCTAAAATAATAATGAAAA